AACTTCAGATACAGAGCATCAAACTTTTTCTATTTCCGATGTCGAAATAAACAAAAAAAAAAAACTTATAATTAAAGGTAAGGGACTAAAGCAAAAATCACAAACACACAAAACTTTTTACAACTTTTTCTACTTGTTCACTCCAACCCGAGGGCCCAACTTTCCTCTCGAGCCGCCCCACAAAAATTTATTTAGAATTTATATTAATTAATATTTGTTTTGTCCTCTTTTTGTGGCCTAAAATGAAAGACCTCTCGTCTTCTGAGTCACTGTCTCTGTTTATATTTTGATAACGAAGTTTGTTCTCGGCCTTGATAAGATTTATTTTTGTAGCAGGCGAGACGTCTCCATATATTTATTAAGCTGCGACAAAGGGGTCGGTTGCAACTTAATTAATTAGAGGTCAAAGCAAGTGGCTAGCACTAACTAAATCATTGGCTGGCTGTCCCGTCGGGTGGACGAGGAGACCTTTATTTTTGGTATACTTTTTGGTTATTCGAAATTCATATTTTGATATTTTGCTGTGACATTTTCAGAATTCTTGTGTTTAATTGTCGAATACTCCAAAATGTTCCATTCAATTAATTTTCAATACCAGTAGAGCACACAAATGTTTTTTATTTAATTTTGATATTTTCTCAGATTTTCTTTATATTTTCATTCCATTAAAAATTCCCTTGTGTCATTTTTAGAGTAATAACTCTGCTCCATAGCCTCACTGCACACCGCCAAGTAGAGTCTCTCCGGGAAGTACTTTAACCGTTACACTTTCTACCACCCCCGCTGATAAATGTTACGTGTGATAAGGGACTGTTGTTCGGAGAGCTCATCCGTTGGTTACCTTCCGCAAGCGTCTGCGTTGGTGAAGAACCGGCGTGCAACTGAACGTCCAGGTCGATGGCTGCGATGGCGACAGCCGCCAGGATACACGAAGGAGTGTACTAAAATTGTAGGACACTTCGTGTTTGTGTTCGTGTTCGTGTCGTCGCTCGTAGTTATGAATGGAACAAACACTTGTTTGCGTGCAACGGGGTAAGCATCTGTGATACTGACACTCTGCCACTTGGCGAACTGTTATATCCGTTCTACTCGGAGGGGAACACGACAAGCTGTGTCTGCTGCGTTTATGGAGCAATACGCTCGGATGACAAATATCACACCTTTATGGAATTGAGGAATGGGACGAATGTGCAATGAAATGAGAAATCGTTAGAGTTTTCTGCGGCGTATACGTAATATTTCTGTGCCTCTCAGGCTATAGAGTCTGCATTGCTAAAAAAAAAATCTTCTGTAGCCTCAAACTACGTGAACAGTAGAAACAAATCGCAGACAAAATGTACAACGTAAGGGGGAAACTTGGCAATGCAAAAGTCTCAGGCTCCCGCGAGGCCCTGCCACCGGAGACAATGTCAATAATGCGGCAATGCCTAAGCGGACAACAATGCCTCAAGCAGAAAACAGTTGACAGTATAAGTGGCAGTGGCAGTGGCAACAAGCAGACAGGCAGCACCAGCATCAGCATCAGCAGCTGTGTCAGCTAAGTAAACAATCGGATGCCACGGGGCAGTCACCATGGATTCGCAACAATAAAATCCGTAAGTAGATTCAGCGAAAAATGCAGAAAAACATAAACAGAATCACAAAGAAGTAGAGAGACGACCGCTGGCAAAGAGGGCGGGGAAGCCATCGTCAAGTGTATCATGTTGCATTCAACAAAGACCGATTATTGTTTCGTTGCAACTAACATGCCCCAGAGGCGAGGCAAAGCAAATATAATTTTCATATAACATTACCGGCCACAGTGTCGTGCCGGACATTTACCCCAGACAACCCAAAGCAGATTTTAACTAAATTTTATACTATTTTATTTAAATATTTTATTATATTCTGCCCCTTGAACCCCTTGGATGGCTTTAATTCAAAGTTTTAGCCAAAAGACAAGAAAACAAAATTCTTTGCATCGATAGACTGTTACCACTCGCACACACATAAACGTTTAATTGTGGCTGCCAAAAAGCACACAGAGCCAGAGACAGACAAAGACACAGCAATTATATTCATTGTTCAAATTTGAATAAAATGTCAAGCAAAGTGAGTGAATGAATATACGAGTAATGCTGTGCTTAGCCCCCTCTTAAAGGCATATATAAATTAACCAGACTTCATAGACAAAGCAGTCGTCCCCCAATAACATCTGGTTAAAAGTCAAAGTCAAAAGACAGAAACGTACACACGCACACACAGCGGAGACGGGTCGAGAGGCGTACACATGTGAGGGGCGGAGTCTTGGGGATAGCCAAAGAGGCCGAAAGCCGCATTGGGAGCAAAAGCTGACAAAAAAGAAAAAAAAACAACGGGGACAACAAAGGAGAAAAAAACTTTCTGCCAAACAGGCAACATGTCAACTGAAAGCAGAGGCACACAGCACAGAGCACGGAAGGGAAAAAAAATAAGGAAACAGGCGAGGAAGAGCTCAAATTTCACAGGAAATGGCTGAAAGGCAGGCTGGGCAATAGGGGCATGAGGGGCAGACAGCCGTAGAAAGGATAATGCGCGGCATGCGGAACGCATAAGCGGCAAATTCCATTAAGTGGCAACAGCAGCAACAACGACCAGCCGAGCCGGCAGGCGCGGGTGGGCAGCAGATTGAGGGCTTCCCATCGAATTAAAATGATATGAGCAGCAGTAGCAGCAGCATCAGTGGCAGCATCAGCATCAGCATCACTGGGAATGGACAGAAACAGTTTCGGCGGTCAGGGTTGACACAGCGCTTCATGGTAGATAAATTTTTTTATGCGCCCTTTGATGAGGGTGCGTTGTGCCTTGTGCCTTGTGCGTGGTTTGACACAATACCAGGATATGCGTTTGTATGTATGTGTGTGTGTGGCCAAAATAAAATTTCAATTTGCCAACGAACTGGGTCAGTAGAGGTCTGCCTCTGATTCGATGGCATTGGATATTGAACCCTAGCATAAAATATATATACCTATAATGGTTTGAGCGGCCTACTCCACGGATTTACGCTCCATAATAGCGAAATGGCAGCAAAAAATGTGAGAGTATGTTCCTTATATTCCAAAGTAAAATAAGGAATATTCTGTTGTTATAATAGGCTGGATATAAGGAATATAATACATAAAATATATCTACATATACAAAATATCTACATATACCTGTAAACCAACCAAATAAGGCAACAACCCACCTAGGAGGCATATGGGTATATATGGATGTATGTGTGTAACATCATGTTAGCCAGGACACAAACAATCCGAAGCTCTCGAAATGTTAAGCAACATCCACTTAAATAGATACCACAGAACTGTTAGACCTGCGGCTGTGTTTGTATCCAGGACACAAACCAAAGTCAAAATCCAATAAAATCCCACAAAATAGATTCCACATGCACGTTTTTCAACGCTTTAGTTTTGGTTTTTAAGGTTTCAGCGACTTTACGTGGGCAAAAGTGGTGCGTGGATAAAATTAAAACAAAAGATACATCATCTATTTGCATCATCTTCCATAGCTCCCTACACTCTCTCTAGATGCTAATGAAGACAAATGAATGGCCCCGCTTACTCCTGGCTGTTGCAGCTGAATTCATTTAACAGACCCCCTTGTACTCAGTGCCGCATCTCTGTGGCTGACTATTGGCGACAACTGAAAAAACCAAGCAAATGCACTCCGCAAATGGCAGAGGCAAGAGATTAATCCAACTAAATATCTGCTTTTTGTGTGCTAAAATCCTTCTTCCCCCCCATCAGACGTCATTGTATCTGAGGAAATTAATGGTTTAGTTTCGGGTTAATTGTTGGGGAAAGCTAATAGATATGCTTGGCAGTTCCTTTGTCATCCCTCCTGCTTTTACTTCCGGCCGGAAGTTGTTTTACACCTAAGCATTTGCATAAACATGGCTTCCACTTCCTGCCCACTGACACTGCATTTTAAACACAGTATTCTGCAGTCCCCTGACATGACTCATGGACCGCACTCCATTAAATATAGCTTTCGCACGGAATGATTTATTCATTCGGCCTTTTGCCGAATTTTTAAAAAATGAAAAATCGCACAACCATTTTAATGAAAACCATTTATTTTATTTTGATTTTTTTGTTTTCACTTGCCTTTAATACGCGTGTGTATTTTTCATGTTTTTTAAAGAGAAAACAAGAATGAAAAGGTTATGACTTTGTTGGACAGCTTTTGTTTGCCAATTTAAAAATACTTCAATATTTGTATATATAAAGTGCACACACACATAACCGCAGGTGGCAATGCAAATGGGAAAACCACCGTGTGACCGCATCGAAACAAAAAAAAAAAGGAACGAGAACAAATTCTACCCGCCATATACCCTTACACTATGCAGTCATACTCATTGCAGTTATCTGCTAGGGAAATGGAAAACTACTACCTATTTTGAGTATACTCTCGTTAAGGGCAACAAGCAATACCAGTCGCAGCTGGAAAACTCTCATTTGAATAACAAATTGGACAAGGAATGCACACAAAATACATAAAAATAAGATATTAATTCGCATCGCTGGGCGTCAATCTGCATGCACGCAATGGATTTGTGGCGTAGTGGGGGCGGGGCATAAGCAATCCACTTATCAATTCATCTATTAACATAAAATATATACGAGTATTTATGTATAGTATTTATCCTTTCCACAGAACCAAGAGTTTAGGCTAGATTTATTGGCCCAGGCCCTCCTCCATTTGGAGGAAGGTTAGCCGCAGAGAAACTTTACCACAATTTATGGCATGGCATAAAAAATAAATGTAATTTAAATTATAGAGAAAAGAGAGGATGAGGATTAAGGCCCGCAAGGCGGAACCCACACCATCGAAAAAGTTTCAAAACTCTCATAGAAGCTTCATTTTTCACATTTTCGCCTTGTTCTTACATTAAAATGTTTGCAATCCTCAAATGAAATGGCCTCAAGCGTAAGGTTAATTCTATAAATGGATGCTTGGACTCTGCTTTGCACACTCACCTTTTATAAAGTCAACTGCCATCTCCAGGCCGTAGGTATCCTTGTCGCAGTCGTCCAGCAAATGGGCGCCCAGTGTGACGTTCGGCAGCAATTGCTGCTTGTTCACTTGGTCCAGGGTATACAGCATCGCCTCCAGTGCCTGGATGCCGCCCTGTGGCATGATGGGCCCGCAGGTGATGCTGTCCTCACGCGAATGCACCATCATTAGGCCGCCAAGGATGACGTCGCCCTCCAGCACTGCCGCATGTTTCACGGGCCACACGGATGAGGGCGGTGGTGCGGAGCTGCCCATAGCATTGGCCAGGAGTTGCACCATGTGGCCGGCTCCGCCCAATAACCTGGGTGTAGGCACGGTTTTTCCAACTCCTGCGGCTGCTGCTATTTGAAGCGTTGTTTCTATTATTGTGGACATCGCTATTGGATCTGTTTGCTGTGTTTCGCCCCATGTCGGCCCAGTGGCATTAACATAGCTTTGTGTGGCAGCCAGCATGTCCATATTGAATTTGATTTCAGCTTGGCCAACATTTTTATTTTCTCCATGCGATGTTTTTGTTGTTGTAGGTGTGGGTGTCGTTGGCGCCACGCGCTTCTCTTGTATATGTATTATTGGAACTGTTGGTGGTGTACCAGCTGTAGTTTCATTGTTTGCTTTTCCCCTTGGGATTGTTGGCTCTGTGGCACCCACTGCTGCTTCTGCTGCTGCCGCGGCCATTGGTTGCACATTTTCCACGGGTAATACAGTTGTTTTTAAGGGCATCTCCGGTTCCTCTGTTGCGGCTTGTGCTTGCATGACTCGCATCCGTTGTATCTCGGTTGCTGTCTCTGTGGTTGCTGCCCTTCCGTTTGGCACTACCGATGCTGCTGCTGCTTCTTTTGCTGATCCTGCAACACCTGGCACTGCTCTAGGTTCCGCTTCTGCTCCTGCTGCTTTAGCACTTTCTGCCATGGTAACTGTATCTTTCATCAGCTTCTGCTGCTGGTTTACAGTTGCTTTTCCCAGTATTCTGGACACAAAAGACTTGGAAGAACCTTCTTGTCCTTCTGTTGTTGTTGATATTAGATTTCCGGTTGCAGTTGAAGCTGCACTTGCAAGCACACTTAAAGGTAATTGGCCTGCTCTGCGTTCTCCCTCGTTTGCGGGTGTCACCTGAAGGACCGCTTCCTCCACTACGGCTGTCACCTGCTGCTCATCTATGGGTCTCATGGTTTCGGTGAGCGGTGTTGCTGCTGGTTCTGGTTCTGTTGCAAATCGCGAATTTAAATTGCCGCTTTTGTTCGCAGAGTACAGTGTGGACCTTGGCATAGCTGTCGTCGCTCCCTCGTCCCATAGCCACGGTAATGGCTGGTCTCCATTGTGCCCCAATGCTTGTTGAAAATTCCCGCAGCTCGTCAGTAGCAGTAGCAGCAGAACCGTGACAGTGGCGGTGTTGGTGGCGCCTCGTGCCTGTTGTGTTCTTCCAGCCATTTCTCCGCAAACTTGTTGGGTGTGTTTGATGAGATCAGTGCAACAACGAAAGCGGAGGCGCAACCGGGCTCAGCAGCAGGAGCAGCTGGATTGACGATGTTGAACGCATTTGTTTTCCGCCTGTTGCCAGTCGTTTCGGGTTGTAAATTTCAATTAATTTTCAACAAGAATTCGTCCCGGAATTCAGCTGGCCGTCGACAACACGCGTTTAATTAAGTCCGAGCTGAAAATTGATGTGGCTGCTAATTTCAGTGGCTCCTGCTGCACGGAGATTGGGCTTATGGGGTCTGGTCTCGGTCTACAACTTTGTTGCGGCCGCAACCGCTGCAGTGTTATTTTTATGTCCGGCAGAACTGCAAAATGAAACACAAGTGGAAAACCCCGTTAGTAGGGAAATTGTGCAGAGGAAAACCCAAAGCATGGAATACGAACGAAAATAGGAGGGAAAACGGAATGGAAGTGAATTATAAATGTACGTAGTTAAGCGAATTTAATGAGCAGTAAAAATGTGCATCAAAATGAGCAGACATTTGTCTGTCTGTCTGCCCCAAAAACTCGAGGGAGAACGCTTGCCGGATATCCGAGTGGAATTTCTGCCACTGCCTCCCACCACTCCCGCTTAGAGAGGATGCACACAAGTTAATAAAGCTGTTTGTGGAGATAGATCTCTGAGAGTTATTCGCATGCAATATTATATTTTAAATCTTCCCAAAAAAGAACTTAATTTGTTTATATAAGAGCGTTTATGTTTATACAAGAGCGTAGCTAAACCCTGCCTTCGTAGACTTAGCCTCTAAGTTTTCTTAATCCTTTAAACGCTCACATAGAACGTGTCTCTACGACACCAAGTATCCCTTTCAAAAATTTACCAGTAATAAGTCTGTATTTGATTTTCTGTTAGAGAGACCCATAGAGCTGTGCCAAAAAACTATTTGGTTTGTTTTCTTTGCTCTCTGCCTTGCCTTTTAACACGGAAACGGGCAGATCAGTTGAAAGTAGAAACCAATTTAAACTGAAACTTAATTTGCATCGATTGCTCCATCCATCTGTAGTATGAATTCCATTCCATGGAGGAGTACAGTATATTTTTTCTAACTCTTTTAGGCATTGTGGTGAAAGTTTTCAGAGTCCCCCAGCCTAATATATGCACTGCAGAACAATGGATGGGTTGGGATTGGGTTGTTTTCCTTACAAATTTACTACGTTTTCCCCAATTCCCACGCACACGCGTCCACGCATTGGGGAATTTGTCAGTGGCAGCAAATTGATGAGATTAATTAAGTTTCGGCTTGCATTCCGGGCCTCGGGCAGGCAGACAATGTTGACGACGGCAGCAACGTTTTCATTAGTTACGCTGCACGTAAATTTATGGCCACGTCTCGACAGTTTGTGGCATCCCCCGCACTGCCCAACCACCGCACCACACACATCTTGTTCATTTTCACATGCCAGTTGACACTTATTTCCAGAGCCATGTGTCCAAATTCTGCTCGACCTTCAGAGCGCTATACAGGAAAATCCTGCCGCTATTTTCGGTTCAGCAATGTTTGGAGCGGGCCCAAAATATTTCCGGCATTTAAGATAAATGACGAAACATTAAAGAATCGCCATCGCCCTCTCGGACGATGAAATTTTACTCAATATATTAAGCATACGCATCGTTAGACCAGCCCTAAGGAACGTTTATGCAGCTTTTAAAGCTGCCATAAATTGTAATTCCCTTATATTTATTGGACACATATTTTGTTAGCCTTATGGGCGCCCATCGAAAGCCCACTAGAGTGGCCTCTCAACAGACCACAGCGGCAATGTGGCTAATTGGCTTCTTCCAATGAGCAAAAAGCGACGCCTTTTTCTGGCTGCCCTGTTAACTAATTAACTCGACATCATTAATGAAAATACTTTGATTAGATTTGCCATTTAACCCGATTTCCGGCTTAGCCAGGCGCCATTGAATGACACCCATCGATGGCCCGCCCATTCATTGCAGAATTTTCTTAGATTTTTTGTATTTTTACTATATTTATAAATGTGGTCCATTTCCGTTTTTCATTACAGTTACAGGATATCCTCATTGATGACTGGAGGGCAGGGGGTTGTGTGCCCAAAGAGTCAATCGATGGATGAGGGAAAACCCTGAGTAAACAGTTTTATGGGGCTGTTGGGGCGAATCCAAAAGGAACGAACAACATTCCACAAATGCAAATAACCTTATGAGTGTTCCTTTAGAGTTTAGGCATTTTTTTTGACATTTAGGATATTTTAATCACTTTGATTTGTCAGCAAAACAGCAAAGCTTCATTTTGTTTTCAGCCAAACCTCATTGGTTGCGTGTCTGTATGAGATCTTTGGGAAGGGACAGGACACACATATAAAGCCTAACAGCTTTGGGGTCCCGAGGCGCTTTTTTCATTTGAGCTCGTTCCGGTTTTCGGTTTCGGGGGCCAAAATTCGGTTTTAGGTTTAAGCCGTTATTTGCACACAAACAAAGACACACAAAAACACAGACACACAGACAGATAACCGTTTCAGGTAATGCTCATGTTACAGTTTTGGCCAGGCCATGATTTTTTATGCGCGAATTATGCAAAAAGTTGAATGGAGCGAAAAAATGTGCAAAACTGTGGAAAGGGGAAATGTGCTCGTTGCCCTGAAAGGCTGCAGCGAAATGAAAAATTAATGAGCCCCGCATGTGCTGTGGGGCATGTGGGCATGGCTAAGCCATCGTAGTGCCGTACGCCGCTCAATTATTAAAATATTATTTATTATCCTGTGGCTGGACGACGGCTTGACTCCAGCTTAATGGCAGGAACGTGACGGCAGGCAGAGTGGTGATGACTGACCGAACGTCCACTTAAATCGTGATTATCTTTAATGAATATGCAATCCACAATCCATATGTTGGGCAAAACTCGCATTAAATATTTATAATGTGTGCGACTGTTTGTGTATTTGTCAACCCTTATAGAGTGTATGTGTATGTGCGAGTGGCTCAAATATGTATATAACAAGGCCATAATTCACTCACGCTGCTGATCTGCTGAAGCAGCCGCTTTAATTTAATTTACTTTAATTAAATTAACCAGTTAAGTCCATAAATCCATATCTCTACTATAAATTTGTTATATACATTTTTCCAATGGTCAACCATTCTTGGTTGGGATACTTTTTTGTTCGCTTTGCATTCTAGTCACTTAATTCCATTTATTATCATTTTTATTGTTTTGCCAACTAAAAAGTTTGCACATTAATTTTATTTTACGCGTTTTCATTGTTGTTTGCCATTGGCCACTTGCTCGCTATCTCGCTCGCTCGCCTTTCGTTTCCGTTGCCACTCCTCGTGGATAAAAATTTTAAAAACGAATTTTGGCGACACGCAGAATGTTTGGAAAGTGTTTCAGCAAACTTTTAATTAGTAGCATCATGTAACATGCATCAGGGAAACTCCCTCAAAAATGGAAATTAGTCTCCTCATGGCTAAGTTAAAAGAGAGGACGAAATTCCTTGTTATTTGACGGTCGATCAATAAATGTCTGTTTCCGTTAAATAAAAACCAATTATGTAATTACCGTACAAGCAACTTCAAGAGGAACTATCGGTGGATGGAACTGCAGAGGTATCACATATTCAATGCCAAAGGCGGGAATAGGGTTCCGAAAAGCTGCATTGCATCTCATTGTATACATTATTGGCAACACTCCTGAGAGCCCATCATAGTAGTCGGGGGCCGGGACAGGCATTAGCCACGGCCAGTACACAAGAGCTCTCAACTCTTCACTGTTATCCGTATAGAATTTGAATCATGGCCAGCGAAAAGCACTGTCCAGCGACCAATTTCACGCAATTTTATTTCGAGTTTTTCCAGGCGGAAAAGCTGTTTGGTCAATGGCGCCAAAATCTGCCACACATGCGTCGACACTCACAATCCGCTCCCACTACCACCCCCTACCCAAACGACAAACATTCTGCCTTCTGCCACGGAAAATTGGCCGTGACAGGCCAAAAGCGTCACTGGCGGCAATTCTCGCGGCTCTGCGACTCGGTGGCACAAACAAATTAATCCAATTTTGAAAGTGAGATGGGGTCGCGGGAGTCCGCGCATAAATTGAATAATTAGCTCGATTGTGTGTGGGGGGCACGGCGCCATCTCGTAGTTCAGTTAATTGATGCTGTGTCAAAGCGTTTATTCACCGCTTAAGTGATCTGATATATTCTTTGGTTAATTAATTTATTTTCTAGATTCGAAAGATGGTACGAATGAGACACCAAATTGTGTGGGATTTACGGCAGCGAAAATGAAGTGCAAACCAAAAGGACTTGAAATCCACTTCAAAGTATTGCCACCTCAGATTCAAAGGTGGATTACGAGATGGTGGGAAAAAGGCGCAACAAATTAATCAAAATTAATCGCATTACAACAAGCAGCATCAGCAGGAGCAGCATGAGGAGAACCAAAAGCAATTTACGACGCACGCACAGACACACACACACACACGCAGAGCTCCGAATAAGCAAAAGGAACATACGCGAAATACTTTTAAGTGCTCCGCAGAAGAGAAACTCATTACGGAAATTGCTTTACACGGACACAAACGAAGCTACGCCAGCGGCAGCTTTGCGGATACCTCCTGAAGTGGGACGCCTGTCGGCCTGCTCTCAGTTTCAGTTTCAGTTCATCAAATGAATAAGTGTACCTCCACAGCGTGGCATCAATTAAGACAGCCAAAAGAGAAGAGAAGGCGCAGATATGTGAGGTGAGGCAGTTCTGTTCTGTGCTGTCTGTCAGCGTCAAGGCACGCCAAAAGGTAATACAACGCGCAGCATCATCGAAATTCTCTTACATGATTCTCCATTTTGGTCTCGTATATTTTTTTTTTCTCATTTTCGTCTGCTGGTAAGGCGACTCTCATGGAGAATGGATGGATGCCACTTCCTCAAAAAAGTTGGAACACTGTTTGCTGTTCTTCATTGATTTTGTGTTCAGCTGTGGCCCAAACTCCTTCGGCAGTCCTGATGGAGGGTGTATGGAGCTTGTATGGAGATTGGCATTTGATAGCATTGGATATGATATGCACGCCACATTAAATGGATTATTTAATGTTGTCACTCTCACGTACACGTACGAACGTACATACGTACGTATGGAAAGCAAATGATGCGTGCAGCAGATAGAGTGCTGCCTCCTGCTTAAACCCGCCAGAGACAGTGCCAAGGGGAGGCGGAGACACGACACACAATGTTGTTGGCATAAAAGTCAAACTGCGGCACACA